CACACACACACACACACACACACACTTTATTTTAAGGCAGATCTAGATACCTGGACTTGCATTTGCAGAGATTCCTCTTTGTTCGCCCTTTTCTGTTCTGATTCCATTAACTGCATTAGTCTTTGCTCCAGGTGTTGTTTGGACATCAAAGTCTCTGTCAGCTTACTATGCAGACTCTGTACTTCATTTTCTTTGGCCACAAATTTGCCCTGTAAATCTGTAACCAACATTACATTTAAAAACGTCTTCTCCTTCATTTGGCTACTCATCCTCATCTTTAGTACTATTTCCTTTAGAAGACACTGCTGCTCCTGGTTACTTGCCTTGCTCATAGCGTTGACCAGAAAAAAAGCTTTGGGAGGTCAAAGATTTTCTTTTGAACTGTGTTCAAGGCCCAATCCTCAGAATATACTCAATAAAAGCCGTTTATGAATGTTTAAAGACTGCATTATCATTTATTGAACAAATTCTTTATTTCATCTAAGGCATTTTAATAAGGTACATGGTAAGTTCCTTATGAATTTAATGTACTCTCTTGCCCCAAGAACAGAGAAAGATGGTGAGGAAATCTATCTGAAGAGTGGCAAGCATCCTGGTTTTAAATGATGAAGTAAAATTTTTCTGCCTCTCTTCCTAGAAAGAATGTTAAAACAAGAAAAATGGTAAACAAAAAGGAATCTTCACCATAACCAGGAAATGATGTAACTCCATTTATGAAGATAATAAATACATGAACACAAATTGAGTAGGGGATCATTAATTTCGAGAAGTGAGATGGGGACATTTTCCAGAAAGCCCCAGAAACACAAGTCATCTTAGCTGGATTTAAATTCTCAAAGCCTTATTCTATTCCAAAATACTTTTTCATACACAGCACCCAACAAAGCGAGAGGGAAAAAGTGTTCGTAACACACATACACTACCCTAGGACACAGTGAGGTACACACACCAAGAAAAAGCACCTCCCCACCCCACAAGTCCAAATCAGAAATAAATACGTGTGTTTCAGGAAATGTAAAATATTACTTTCATAACAGGCCAGCACTCAAGAAAAAGCTCTTTAAAAATTTAAGATGTAATGGTCACAGGTAAGATGACAACAAAGAATATACTGTTTGCCAACAAGACTAGAAGTTAAAGCAGTAAATTTAAGGCCTTCACAATTCTGTGAGATTATTATATCCAAACTCTACATCCACTCAAACTACCAATCACATACAGAAGTACCATAAAGGTATTTTTAGACATACAAAGTTTCCAAAAAGATGCTCAAGACCCGTCTCATGATGCTACTGAGATGGACGGGCTCTACTAAGTGAGGGTAGCAAAGGCAGCACGGTGACCGTCATCGGGATTCAGAAATAGAGAGAGAAGAAGTCTCAGAAGAAAGCAATGAGCACAGGAGAAAAAGTCAACACTCCACAGGGATAGGCCTTACCGAGGAAATCAGAACTTACAGATGCTTTCAGAGATATGAAGTTGGGAGGCTACAGGGAGGAAGGAAGAGGGCCATTTAGCCACAGATAAAATAAAAAACTAACAATAAAACAAAATATCCAGCAAATAAAAAATAAGGCAATAGCAGCTTCAGGAAACATGCACACAAAAAAAGGTTGTTCAAGAAGGGAACTGCAGTTTTAATACAGAATGGGCGTCAACAAGTTCATGAAAAGATGCAATGAAAAATAACGGAATTCTTCCACAAACTCTTTGAAGCTCCCTCATATACTTAGCTCAGCATTGAGTAGCAAAGTCATGATGGCCTAACATTTGACTGTTGAAACCACGGAAAAGTGTATACATGGTTCCGTATCCGGAGAATAAGGGTCAGTTAGGAGGAATGTCATGGTAGTGTTAAAACCCTCACATTATGAACAAAAAGTTACACATATTTGAAGTGATTGCTCAAAGGAGAGTAGCATAAACGAAGTGCTCATTTAGAAATATGAAAGGAAATACTAAAAATACTAAGAGATGGCTCAAAAGCACTGCCTCTGGTCAGAGTAAAATGTAAGATTTCTGTTCATTGTTACAAGTCTTTTAGCAAGATTTCTATTGTTGTACACTGATGAAATATAAAACACTAACTTAAAAGGTAAACTAATGTATCATAACATAAATCCCAATGTTAAATGCAAAATGCAAAGAAACAAGCCTTCAAGTACCTTGAGTATATTTTGATATTGAGACGGAGGTAGATCTTTAGGGGAAGAAAAAGCAAGGGAATCAAAGGAGCCAAAGAGCCAAAACGCTGTGTGATGATGAATCAGTCCTTAGAACTCTTATTTTATTAGCTTAAAAGGGTTGCCAAGATTAAAAAACAAAAAGAAGCTTCAAAAGTTTGTGGAAAAATGAAATTAAGAGAAATTTGTATAAATTACTAAAAGTGAAAATAATGATCTGCTCTATAAACCTTCACCAAGGTTCAAAAATAAAGGTTTTTTAAGAGACATTAACGATTTATGTCAAAAACAATTCCGAGGAACTGGATTCAAAGTGAAGAATCTTTAAGAATAGTTAGCCAGTTCACTGCAGATATATTTTCCTTTTCATATCTGTAAAAACAAGACCTAGACTAGTAACTCTGATAGGAGAGACTTAAAAGAGTTCTCTCAATAATTATCAAATTAAAAAAATTTTAAAAAAGGAAAATGAGCTGATTCCAGGAACCCAAGAGGAAGGCGAATTTTAAAGAAAAAAAAAAAATCAAGTGATTAAAAAAAATGGGATTTGTTTTCAATGAACAATTTGAAGCCCCCTTAACCACAGGACACCAGCTCCATTCTCATCCAAGTAGCTCTGTCAAAATCAGAATAGATGAGCATGACAAGCGAGCATTTATTAAGTAGGCAAACAATTTAGGATGATAATGCCTCCACTGTTCTCCTCTTCACATAACAGAAAACGGATCATTTCTCAAAAAAAAAAAAAAAAAAAGCAATAAAGAGTTGGTCAAAGAACCAAAGGGTGGAATAACTACAGAAAGGGAATTCTACTCTCATTGCCTTGTTGAGCCAGTTCCGACCCATAGCTACCCGATGTAGAGAGAAGGACCCAGTGCCCTGTTCTAGACCATCTTCACAACTGTTCCTATGTTTGCACCCACTGTTGTGCTGCAGCCACACTGTCCATCCATCTCCTTGAGAACCCTACCTCTTTTACACTGCCCTTCTACTTTACCAAACATAATTGTCCTTCTCCAGGGACTTGCCCCCGCCGGCAACATGTCCAAAGTATGTGAGACTCAATCTCACCATTCTTGTATTTAAAGAGCATTCTGGCTGTACTTCTTCCAAGACAGATTTGTTTACCCTTTTGCGGTCCATGGTACTTTCAATATTCTTCTCCAGCACCACAATTCAAACCAATCAATTCTTTGGTCTTCTTTATTCGATGTCCAATTTTCATGTACAGATGAGGCAACTGAAAATACCTTGGCTTTGGTCAGGCACACCTTAAGTCCTCAAAGTAACACCCTTGCTTTTCAAAAGCCTAAAGAGTTCTTGTGCAGCAGACTTACCCAATGCAATGTGTAGTCTGATCTCTTGACTACTGTCCTATGAGCATTGATTGTGGATCCAAGATAAAATCTGTGGCTTCAGTCTTTTCTCCAATGATCATGATGTGACCTTTTGGTACAGTTGTGAGGGTTTTGGTCTTCTTTACATTGAATTGTAATCTATACTAAAAGCTACTATCCTTGATCTTCATCACAAATCCTGCAAGTACTCCTTACTTTCAGCAAGCATGATTGTGCCATTTGCATATTTCAGGTGAATGAGGCTTCCCCAAAACTTGATGCCACATTCTTCTTCATAGAATCCAACTTCCCTGATGGATTTGTTCAGTATACAGATTGGGTCAAGTGAGAGACCCACCACCCTAATGCGCACCTTTCCTGATTTTAAATGATGCAGTCTGACCTTGCTCTGTTGGAACAACTGCCTCTGGATCCAAGTATAAGTTCCTTGTGAGCACAATGAAGTGTTCTGGAATTCCCATTATTCTCAAGGCTGTCCACAGTTTGTTATGATGCACTTAGTCAAATGCTTTGGCAAAGTCAATAAAACATAAGTAAACATCCTGGTATTTTCTGCTGCCAGCTAAGATCTAGCTGACATCAGCAATGGTATACCTTGTTTTACAACCTCTTCAGAATATGGCTTGAACCTCTGACAGCTCTCTACCAATGTACTGCTGCAACTGTTGGCTAATCAGCAAAATTATATTTGCATGGGATGTCAGTGATACTGTTCTATAATTTGAGCATTCTGTTGAGTCATTTTTCTTTGGAACTGATACAAATAGGGATCTCTTCCAGTCAGTTGGCCAAGTAGCTGTCTTCCAAATTACCTGGCATAGATGAGTGAGTGCTTCCAATGCTGCACCAGCCTGTTGAAATATTTCAATTAGTATCCCATCAATTCCTGGAGCCTTGATTTTAGCTAATGCTTTCAAAACAGCTTGTACTTCTTCCACCACTACCATTCCATGTTGTACCTCTTGAAATGGTGGGATGTCAACTAGCTCTTTTTGGTACAGTGACTCTGTATACTCTCTCCATCGTCTCTCAATGCTTTCTCTGTCCTTGACTATTTTACCCACTTTCCAACTCACGACTTGGTTTTCTCTTGAGTTCTTTCAGTTTCAGATATGCTGACAGCATTCTTCCTTTTTACTTTTCTAGCTCTAGGGCTGTGCATATTTCATTATAATCTTTTACTTTGTCTTCTTTGCTGACCTTTGTAATTTTCTATTTAGGTATCTGACTTTATCATCCTTTCCATTTGCCTTAGGTACTCTACATTTAGGAACAAGTTTCAGAATCTCTGATGACATCCACTTTGATTTTTTTTCTATTTCTTGTCCCTTTGACCTTTGGCTTTCTTCACAAATGATGTTCTCCCATAGTTCATCGGGCCTTCTGTCATCACCGTTCAATGTGTCTAATCGGTTCTTGAGAGGTTCTCGAAATTCAGGTGGGATGGACTCAAGGTCATATTTTGGCTCTTGTGGACTTGGTTTGATTTTCTTCAGCTTCATCGCGAACATCAATATAAGTAATTGATGATCTGATCCACAGTCAGTCCCTGGCCTGGTTTTATCTGCTGATACTGAGCTTCTCAATTGTTTCCCACAGATGTAGCCAATTTGATTTCCGTGTATGTCATCTAGAGAAGTCCATATGTATAGTCAGTTTGTGTTGTTGAATAAGGGTATTTGATCAATTTCAGATTGAAGACATTGGTAGAATTCTTCTATTTCTTCATCATTAGTTTTTGTGGTTGGCGCATAAATTTGAATAATAGTTGTTTTGATGGGATTTAATCAGAGGATAGATTTAATCCTGTTACAGACAGCACTTACTTCAAACTAATTTTGAAATGTAGTTTTTGACAACGAATGAAACGCCCATTCCTCTTGTGTCATTCCTAGCACAGATCATGATTTTCTGATTCAAAGGGGTTAATACAAGTTTATTTTAGTTCACTAAGCCTAGAATACTGATCTTATGTGTTCCACTTCATTTCTGACAACTTCCAATTTTCCTAGATTTATACTTTGTATACTCTAATTATTCAATTTTTATAACTTTTCCTTCTCAATTTGAGGTGAGTCCTTAACGGTAAATGAAGATCTCAAATGCTCCATTCCCACAGGTTTACTCCACTCACCTCACCGTGGTCCACTCTACTTTGAGAAACCAGCTCCTCCTCAGTGACATTTCAAGCACCTTCTCACCCCAGGGGCCCGTGCTCGAGCACCGTCTCCAACAATGTTCTGCTTCCATTCCTCAGGCTTTCAGTATCCGACCATGTTTCCGTGCTACGCATGAAGATTTTCACAGTGACTTTCTCCAAAGTGGGCGGGGGATTCTTTCTTTGTAGCCTGTCCTTCTTAGTCTGGAAGTGCCGTCGAAATCTGTTCACTTTGGGTGACCCCGCTGGCATTTGAAATACCAGTGACATAGCTTCCAGCATCACAGCAACACACAAGCTACCACGGTATGACAAACTAGTGGCATTACCCAATTTAGTATTATAACTTTGCCTGTAACCTACTGCTTTGGCAAAGCTAGTAGAAAGCTTATTTTTAGAACTTTAGCAAATGTCAAAGAAATGTACTATCAAAGTATAAAAGCTATTTTTAATTTAGAGCTATTTTTACTGAGCTTTTACCAAAATGTGCAGGTTATATTTTCTTCATGATGTAGAAAGGAGGATATTTTACCCAAAATTAGATCCAAGCATACCTTGAAGCTACTGTGGGTTTGATTCCAGACCATTTCAAAAAAGCAAATATCACCATAGAGTGAGCTGTGTGAATTCTTTTTTCCCCCCAATGCGCATAAAAGTTATGTTAGTACTATCCTGTAGTCTACCTAAAGTACATTATGAAAACCTCTGAAATACTGTGAGAAAGCCAATATGTGACAGAGAAAGGCACGAGGTGGGTACATGCTGTGGGAAAAATGGCACCCAAAGACTTGCTGGAGGCTTGCCACCAACCTTCAAGGTGCATGTAGCCACGAAGTGGCTGAGGGGAGCAATAAGATCGAGCACACTAAGCCGAGGTGGGCCTGTACCTTGTTGTGCTGCCTCATGTTCTGCTGTTCTCTTCCTGATATAGCTCTGGACGTCTTCCCACCTCCGCTCAGCTTCTTGTAGTTGAACCTTGACATTTAGAAAGAAAGGATGAGCTGAACAGCAAGAACAGAATTCAACCGCTTTTTTTTCCCAACGTATCATCCTTTATCTTTACCGCCACATCATAAAAATGTCTAGTCTAACTAGACTCCTGCATTTTAATTAAGATTGGCACACACACACTCATTCTGAAAGCCGTGTGCTTATTTATTTATCAGTCACAGCCACCCAAAAGGATTTACTCACTCACTCACTCACTCACTCACTGCCATGTAGTCAATGCTGACTGCCTTGGGGGATTTTTCCAAGACTGTAACTATTTATGGGAGTAGAAAGCTCAGTCTTTCTTCTGCAGAGCTTCTGGTGGTTTTGAACTGCCGACCATGCAGATCCCAGCCCAACGCGTAACCACTACCCCAGCAGGGCTCCTATAGGATTAACTAGCTGGAGATTATTTCAAAATCTAAATATTGGTACAGTTGGATCAAGACAGCTACTACTATATCTATCTCTAGCTGATCTACTTAGCGATGACCCATTAATCTTCTTTCAGCTGATAAGCATTCCAAACAACTGGATGATATCTTTATTGCTAATTCTCAGTGACCCAAAAATCAAACCTGGGAATCAAGTGGATTTCAACTTATAGTGAACTGAAAGTCAAAGTAAATCTGCTCCAGAGGGTTTTCAAGGAGATAAATCTCTCTCAAGAAATACCTTCAGTTTACAACTAATTGCTTCAACCTGTGTCCCAAATTTATAAGGTTCATGTACTTACAGCAGAGCACTTCCATTATGACTATAATCTTTAATGTCATATACCCATTTATCTGTATCTAGAGGACAGACTTCCTAACCTAGAAATGCAAACTGTAAACCCACCAGCAAGACCGACATTAGATAAAAGGACAAGTATATCAAGTCTTCAAAGAGATCCAGGAAGATTTCAGAAGAAAAAAACCTCTCACCATTATTTTCCACATCCAGTTTTCTCACAGACCAATTTCCCTCTATTAACCTTGACCTGCTATCAAGAGACAACTGCAGCTATGGTCTAAGGGGGAGTCTGTCTAACATCTTGAGGTTACATTTAACTTACACAAAACTGCCATTTTCAGCCAACCTTCTCCCCAATGAAAAGAACAGGTGATTCTTCTAAGGATTTCACTGAATGTATATAACAGTCTAGAGTGTATATAAAGGAACAAGAGAAAAGTGGCTGCCCTCTCAGTCAGTCTGGGTATCAGCATTTCATGGTTTTGTGACTCAAGAAAAAGAAACGTCAACGAAACACAAGTTCAGTGGGCTCCCTGAGAAATTCTAAGTTATGAGGAAGAAATGTTAAATTTCTATACATGGCTTGTGTCTTACACATGCAGACCTTGAGGCCTCACATATAAAATTTTATTTATACCTGTCAATCAGCCAATTTTATTTTTCTGTCTTCAAACACCTTAACTTCGAACTCAACCTTATACACCATTGCTTCATCAGGGCCCAGGCATCCCTATGGCAGAACACTTGGACTACAGATACCAATCAGCTTCAAAGGACATTTCTCAAACCTACATACACATTTAGGTCACGGGGCTGAGTAGCATCATTATTCGTAAAGCAACAGACAGAGGTAGGAAGAAATCACCTTCAGCTGAGTAACTGCTTGCTCTGCATTCTTCTTTTGGCCTTCCTCTTGTTGTAGCTTTCCCGTTTTCTCAGTCAGCTCATTCACTAGCCTCGCGTAATCCTGGCGCAGTTTATTCAGTTCAGCAGACTGCCTGAAAAGAGTAACTGGATTAAGAACCTTCCATTCTTATAAAGGCATATAGGGCATTTTATATTCATTTTCTTAGCTTCTAATTTCACTTACAGCAAACTGAAAAGTAATATTAATAAATGACTACAAATAATGAAGTTTGGTGACCATAACTCCCACATAATTGGATTCTAATGACAATTACACAAATTCCAGAACCACTGTGAAATACCAAGGGAAATGGATGATCTCAGCTTTTGAGCATGAAAACACAAGGGTCACCCTCAAGCTGGCCTGACAACCTATGGAAAGCAAGTCGTCGGAGAGGCTCCTCCCTCTGTGCATTTCTCAGAGCGTGGCTGCCGAGTCCCTAACATTACAGGAAGGTGTCTTAGTGTACAGACTCGTGGGCTCCACTGCAGAGATACTGAATGATAACCTTCCCAGGGTAACAGCCAGGACCTGTTACCTGTAACCATTCACCCCGGTAAGTAAATATGGTTCATTCCAGAACAAGAACGTAAGCATACAGAACACGTCCATTCAGTCACACACAGAGTTACAGACTGTTTCACTGGTGGTGCAAGTACTCATCAAAGAGCAATTTAACTGAAGAGGATCTTTAGGTAGGCAAAGGGAATTGTTTTTGAAAATTAACTCCATTTAGAAACAAGCGTCTAACCAATTGCTATTACCCACCATTCTGATGATTCAAGAAAATACTCTGCCATTTAAATGAAATAAAGCATTTGGAAACATACTTGCTTTCCAGTTGGTTTGTAGTATTGCTGACAGCATCTCTCAGTATACCATTTTCCTGCTTCAAACGAGCTCTCTCTTCTTCCATCTCCTCACGAAATTGCTGAAACTAAAATTATTTTATGCAAATAAGATTTAGAAAACAATGATTGCCAATACTGTCTTACAACAGAAATGCTATAATAATGAAAACACAAAAGGTACCAGCCAAAGAAAATATGGACCATTCTTTGGCAATAAATAAAAACCAATCTTGAAAAACTAATTTTTACTGGTGATGAATGCAAAGAAAAGGTGCAATGTCATAGGGTGTAACATTATAAAGCACCTTGGAAACAGACCCAGGCCACGTTCATAAATAACTTCTTAATCAGTAACAACAATGATGCGATGTCTTTAGAAGAAACAAGTAAGACCTCCTCCTCCTCACTGGTCCAGACCTAACTGAAATCATGAGAGCAGGTGACAGACGGAGAAAGACAGGCAGTCAGAACAGTACCTTATGGGATGTTGACAGCAGACAAAGGCAAAAGAATAAGCACTAACAAAAAGACAGGTCACCTAAGCCAAAGCCCTGGTAGTCATCTGTCACACTATCACCCCTCTCTTCTCTGTCAACGAGCCCTACTTAACTCACACAATGTGTCACCAACTTTGTCGATACCTGATGTCAGGCCCTTGGAGCCCTGAAAAGGCTTTCTCACTATCCCTTGTTCTATTCTCTACCCTATGTCTGAGCAGTCATTACAAATACTAATATGAAGAGGGGAAAACAGGACAGAATGTCCATTTCTCATGGACTCAAGAGGCATGGAGAGTGCTTGAACCCTGAAAACTTTTACCCAGAGATAATCTTTTAAACCATAAACCAAAAATATCCATCCCCTGAAGACTTCTTAAACAAATAATAGCTTAACTAGCAAAAATAAAAGGTGTGCCTTTAGCATTATGCTCTTTCAAACATTATCTATGGGAAATCAAACTGACAACCAAACTCACTGTCATTAACTCAATGCCAATTCACAGTGACCCTACAGGTCAACATAAAACTGCCCCTGGGGCTTCTGAGGCTTTATAAATCCAAATGGCCCTTTCACAGGGGTCGCCTGAGTCATAACAGTAGCAAAATTAAGAGTTAGGAAGTAGCAACGAAAATAATTTTATGGTGGGGCGGGGAGGTCACCACAACATGAGGAACTGTATTAAATGGTCTTGGCATTAGGACAGTTGAGAACCACTGCCTTAGAAGGTTTATGTTAATCAGGGAAGAACCATTCAGGAAAAGAAGATAAAAATATTTCCAGAATTCAAAGAATGTAACTATTGCCACTGAAGTACACATGTGGCAACTATTGAATTGGCATGTTTGGCTGTGCGTGTTCTCCTAGCTCCTCCCCACCTCGTCCTCATCTAAGACACACTGTTTACCACCCACTAAGAAGAGAGAACAAGGTTACCTGGTCACTGTACCCTGGCTGGGCCAACAGCTGGCCACGCACAGACCAAGAGTCTGTGACGAAGCATGCAAATGCAGAGATTTCCCTTTGTTTCCAGAGGAGGAGACATACCTTCAACTGCATCTGCTGGGTCTCCTGATAACTGACATGCATTTTGTTTTGAAATACATTGTGCTCTTTTTCTAATGTTCCAATCCGATCTTTCATCCTTGCTATAACCACATTGCTTCTCTCTTTCTCTGTCATCATTTCCTAGGAGAGTAAAACCAAAAAGAAATGACTAGAAATCATATTATTAAAAGCAAGTACAATAACTTCAATAAATTGGTCCTGCATTCTGAAACAAGAAGTACTTGAAGATCAAACGGACTTTAAAAAGTCATTCCTGAGAGACATCAAGACAGTGTAGACATGACAAAATAATAATAATTTATAAATTATCAAGGGTTCATGAGGGAGGAGAAAAAATAAGAAGCTGATACCAAGGGCTCAAGTAGAAAGAAAATGTTTTGAGAACGATGATGGCAACAAATGTACAAATGTGCCTGACACAATGGATGTATGTATGGACTGTGATAAGAGTTGTATGAGCCCCCAATAAAATGATTTTAAAAAGTCATTCTTCCGGAGATCCTGGGGGGTTGAAACACTGACCTCGCAGTTAGCAGTTGAGCATTGCTTAACAGGGCCCCTTCAGAAAATTCACCACACACAATTACACTGAAGTTTCTACTACTAGGGAAGCAGGCTTGTTTATTTAATAACTTATCTTAATTTGACCAACTTTTGTCACAGAACTTTTTCTTATGATCCCATAGGGGATTTATATTCCAACAAGGCCATTCATTCTCACAATGGCATCAAGTAGCAAGATGAGTGATTCATAAGCAAACCCATTTTACTCTACTGAATCTAATCCCATAAAGGAGAAACAAGCACTTTCCAGGAGAATGACACCACATTTCGACAGTTTCAATTCTAGTCTCTCATCCCGGTGATGTCTTTAGTTCTTTGATACATCTCATCTAAAATTTCTGGACTTAATGCTTCTCATTAATTAAATGTACATGTCACAAGAATCTCAATAAACAATCACTTATGTAAGGGCCTTGCATGTATCCTATACATTGAATTCAGATGGTATTACAAGTTCTGCCCTTCTAAAGAGGATAATTCTGTCAGACCCAATTAGAGCATGCTCACAATGTCCAAATGCTTCTTCTATTCAGAAACTAGTATATCTGTAACTCAAAAACCCAAACTCATTGAAACCCTAGGTAGGGTGGGTTTCTAAGGCTGTAAATCTTTACGGGAGCAGACAGCCTCATCTTTCTCCCTCTGAGTAACTGGTGGGTTTGACTCTTGGACCTTGTGGTTAGCAGTCTAATGTTTAACCAAAAGTATCATCAGGGAGATCTATCAGTGCTGTTATTTTTAAATTCATAACTCAAATGTCTAGTATAACTTCAGGAAAGACAGAAAAATAACTATTCTTATTTGTTTGGAGTAAACTTGTTGCATAAATAAGTGCATCGGAAATTATGGGCAATTTCTAAAATCTTTTAAAATGTTTCTTATACAGTTTTTATAGCCTTTGAACATGAGAATGTCTTCACCTGGGTTAACTGCTTGCACCGACCCTTGGTAGCAGCAGCATCTTCCTTTGCAGCAACGAGGAGTTTCTCTTTTTCTTGAAGCTGATGGGCGAGTGCAGTCAGTTCCCCTTTACTAGACTGCAATTGAGAAGTCAACATAGAATCAATGATGACTCACGTGTCAGAAAAACGAAGACTCTCCAAGTGTTTGTGAGTCAATGCAGAGTTCTCTGTTACAAATAAAAACAGACCATCTGCCAAATACCGGTCAGTGAAATAGCATTCAGAAACCACAATGGTGGGATCTACCCAGTGCTAATTTGTAAACATAAATCACTTGAGATATCTTGACAAAGAATTAGAGAACAGTCGTGTTAAACCCAAAGAAAGGATCAGGAAAACTACTCTGAAACCAAAATAGAAATCTCTAATGAAACAATCATCGGTGATCCCAACGCACACTCTTAGGAAATAATGCCAAAAGCAGTGATGACCAAACACAGGTACTTACAACAATGACACAGTAAATATGTACACCCAGGACTACAGAAGTACCATGCCACACAACTCTCCAAAGTTAACAGAAGGACACAAAACCAACAATTCCCCACCGAACTCCAAGAACATGTGCAAAGACCAGAGGCAGGAACTGCCTTGAAAGGCAGTCTCGAGAAACAGAAGTAAGGATGCACAGCTCTCACAAATGTCGCACCAAACGAGCATTGCTGAAAAAGATGAACGTGAAAGGGAAGTGTACATGGGAAAGCCAGGATTCCCATTCACACATGCACAGGTTTGTGCCAAACAAAATGTCTTACACATGGATTAACGGGCATGTTTAATACATGTCTAAACCTCAGTTACTGTGGACAGGTTTGTTCAGTAGTAATACACTTGTCTCCGTCTTGAAAGAGGGCTTTGAAAAAAAGAGAAGGAAACAGGTCCATCGAAACAGTAGCTTCAGAAGGAATCTTCTGGGCCAATTAAATTCAAGGCAGAGAGGTCAGCTCACGAAGTTATGGTGACTGTTCTCTGATTTCCGAGGTGTAATCTTCATAGATTTTCTTGATGGACGCAGGACAATCAAAGGAGCTTATCGGAAAGAAGTTTTAAGAAAATGGAAACCTGTATTGATGAGAAAAGAGCCAGAAAAATGGCACTTTTTTTGTTCAAGCACAATGTGGCAGTCACCTAATCTGGTGTCAATTTAAGAATTAAGAGTGTAGGAGTGGAGTCTAGGCTGTCAATCTGGAGATAGCCAATGAGACCTCTGTGTGGGCATGGCCTTCTGAGAATTCTGGGAGATCTCGTAGTTCTCCTCCTTGGAGGTGGAAGACACCTCTCTCTCTCTGCTACTCCCTGGGAGACATTGCAAAAGACAAGCCAAATGGATGCAATCAGACCTCAGAAGCTGGAGAAGCCAGAGAGAGACCTTGCCAGCACTGAGATGCTGACAATGGCACTGGACCCAAAGACTTTCTACCCACTGGCTTGTGATCGTCCTGCATTTGGTTTCATTGCATGTGTTTCATGAGTCTGAAGAGGACTTTATAGATTGGTATCAGACATGTGGGCTAATATCAGACTTATGGCTTTGGGCTGGACTGGATTGAGATGTTTTCTCAATGTTCAATTGCTCTTGTATATAAACCTCTCCCTTATACACATGTGTGTTTGTGAATTTCTCTAGTCTACCCAGACTAACACACATAACAACGCACCTGTTCATTCTTCGAAGGTAATAGAATTGTCCTACCAGGATCTCACTGGGAACCCTTATCCCATCCATATGCACAACAGCCCTTATCTTGCCCTTCACGCACTTCCTTTTGTTCCCCAAAAGCAAAGAACATTGCAAAGGAACACAATCTGAGTTCAAGGATGCCAAAACTGCCGTTGTGACATGGCGTAAATCTAAGAGCAGAGTTCTTCAAGGAAGAGCTAGCGAAATGGAAATACCACTTTCAGAAGTGCATAGACCAAGCTCAAGAAATGTCAATGAACAACAGCTTTACATTTTAGCACTTTTATTTAATGAAAGCTTGTAGGATTTTGTAGCAATACTTTTGAACTAACCCTCATAAGCCAAAAAGAAATACAGTCTATTCAACATACAAGAAAAGGAAAATGATGAGAAAACCATGACAAGTAAAAATCCATCACCAGGAAAAAGTTGTCAAAACAGACAAAAGTTATGAGTATAAACACCAACATGGTTTTAAAAAATCTAATCTCTGGAAAGCAAGAGCAAAAAGCAGATGCACAAGAGAGAACTCAGAGAAGAGATAATGTAAGAGCACAGAATGTGGTGAAATATTAGCTGGCAAAACCCAAAGTAGAAGTGAAAGTAATACCATTGTAGAAATATAACCCAATGTGAAACAGCAAAAAGTTAAGACATGCTACTGAAGACTGAGTGAAAGTCACAGAAACCAAGGTTGATAAAAGTACAAAGAGATGAAGATAAAACCGCTTTTCGTATTTGTTTGTTTTGCAAAGAACTGAAATACAAAAGATAGAGACTGACAAAGGAAATCCAACATAGGTTTCACTATGACCCCTAAGAGATGTAAAATGTTATCTATTACATAGGAACTCACTGGGCATGGAGTTGATATAGACTCATAGCAACCCGGTAGGACTGGGTTCTGTGGGTTTCCCAGCCTCTAACTCTTTCCGGGAGTAGAAAAGCTCGTCCTTCTCCCCCGGAGTGGCTGGTGGTTTTGAACTGCTGAGCTTTTGGATGCAAGTCAATTCATAACCACTTCACCACCAGGGGTCCTGTATTACATAAAACTCCCCGGAAATAAAAGTTGATTTGATCTAATGATGAAGAAGCGTGTTATATTCAAAGGAAAATTCGCCAACTATCGACTATATTATTGTTTACTGAACTTCATAGAAACTGAATCACATCCTATTTGTACGGTAGGGTAAACAACGGCAAAACCCAATAAATAATAAGCATCAGATTGATTACCCAAAATATGTTTTTACTTGAGAGCACAGTTTGAAAAAGTACATGAAAGAGAGTAATATTCAGGCTGGACATAGATATATAGCCAGCAACACGAATGTAGAACATAGCAAAGCAGTGTCATCAACAATGCTTAAGAAAATGAAACATTATACCCCACCACAAAATCCTTAAAGTATAGAGCGAAAAGGGAACATTTCAACTTGCCAAGACTTTAAGGAATACAGTCTTCATCGATCCTTCTTGAAAACATTCCAGGAAATACCTCAGCCAATCAAGAAATAAATACTCAGATACAGCAAAAGAACTGGCACTGAGCTCTGAACCTATTAAACTGCACAACTATGACTAAAATAAGATAGGCTTGAAATACTACAAATATATGATAAACCAAAATGCTATATTTAATAAAAATTGAAAGGGGAAGAATGTTTAAAAATGTAATTTAAAGCTTTAAGAAAATCATATCATTGAGGCAAGTTCACTTAGAAGCCAACAGTGGAAAATAATCAAATGTTAGTATTTTCTTTTTAGCTGCAGTACAGAGAATGACTTAATATGGCCCTCTTAGCTAGTCTTTCTAAGGGCCACCAAATGACTGGGTGGGGCCATGCAAATGAGGTGCAAGAAGATAGGATGGTTTGCTAATTGAGTACATTAAGGAGCAGTGTATCATGGTGGGGATGGGCCTGCTCTAATCAGGTGTATAGCATGCTAACAAGGAGACTACTCAGCTTTGCCACCCCACCAGGCTTTTAAGAGTTCCAAAAAACAAGGCATAGCAAGACAAAGCGACAAAAGAGAACACAACGATGACAACAAAAAAGAAAATCAATGACCAAGAAAAGAATAAATTAATTTTTAAAAAAAAGTTTAAAATTTTAAAAAAGAAAGAAAAACCTGTAAATAGATCAAGGTCTGATTTTT